ATCCAACGAAACAATTTTACATTTTGAGAGTCGGCGATTAAGATTCGTTGCGAAATTTGTATTTTTCAATGGTTTTCAATGGGTGGCAATAATTTATAATATGCAGATCGGCTGTATTTATATTAATCCGAGTCCTAATCACGATATATTCGACTGGCGGTGGCTATAATCGCGCATACATATTATAATAATTTGATCACACATTAATCATTTAAAGTTTTGCACACACTCAAATGCGTGCTAAAGTATAATGTATGACGTACATTAATTGTACAATATATAATAACCGGATGTTTGACTTAACCGAGTACCAGAATATTATGTATGTACTCGCGGTGTTATCAAAGTACCTTCATGGTATACATATATAATATTAGTGTGTATGGCAATTTATTTACGCATGCGATTTTCGTCGATATGAAATTTTATGTTATAATATAAATATATATCATTATCGTGTGCCGAGAGTTAGCGTGCGCATAAATTTACCAGAGATAGCACCGTCTCGAAGACAAAGTATTGTTTTTGTTCGGACCAGGGCGCCGCGCTTGTACTATATATCGTAGAAACGATAATGTATTGTAACATTTATAACCACTGTAACCACTAAACATGTGTGATCTATATCGTCATATTGCATGTGATATACCCACCCCGTAATAATTAAATGATATACACCTACCACGTGGTTGTTACTCGGCAGAGTTCGCTGCAGACTCAAAATGAAAGTGTTCCTGCATGAGACAATATATTACGAGTATGATTGTACTGATAATAATGCCACATTGGCGAATTAATTTTTAACACACATTGCGTGCGTTGGGTACAAAATTACTTGTGATATTGCGATGTCGCCCCCCCCCCTGAGAAGCTATTTAAATTCTCCCCTATAAGTAAATTATTCAATATTATATATGAAAATAATATACAGTGCTATGTTTTAGGTCCGAGTTAACTGACGGTATAAAGTACGTTTGGAAACAATATCAGGTCCACGTGTTAGTGATGACGGACGACGAGCTTCACATAGACATTTGAGTGCATTTGACGTATGAGAGTATGATATCGTTATATTGTATATTGTTAACAAATAATAATTATTACAGGACAAGAAATTTCGAATTTAATTTTACTCGACTTCAACTTGCAGGCGTACCTATAACTAATATAATATCACAGACATATCAGAAACTGGGCCGCTTCTATATTATTTTCGATGTTCTTGATTAGTTTATATTATGCAAAGTACCTAGAAGCAGTAGAAACAAACATGAATAGAAAGTATAAATTTGATTTTTAAAATAAAATATCACGCTTATATTGATTGAATCAACCTTAAATTAACATAATAATATGCCGTTTACAAGTTAAAATTAACTTATACCATGTTATGATAACGCAGTATTTCTACTTTGACAATTTCTTCATTAACAGCGTGGGAGTACTTGTGAGGTTTATATATTATATTATAATGTGCATGTCCTAAATCTCTGAGAAATGATTCGAATAAATCTTCTCTAGACGGTTGAACAGTGCGCCACCACTATGGAGTTGAAATTCTAATATTATGTTAGTTGCTCCGAGTGTTTTAATGTTATTATACTTCTTAGTTTTGACGTGTATCCAGAGCGTTTCTATTATCGTTTGAGTTTTGGCACCAGTTATTAGGCCGGTGAATAGATGATTTATAACTACTATTATATCACATAAGTGTACACAAATTACAGACACTGCAGACTAATATTATTTTATTTTCGTACTGAATGTACCCTCCTTTTATAACGTCCTTATTCTATTAATGTTGTTTGAGTGATAAAGTAGACCCAATATCAGCTGGTATTTTAGTAGATACCAGATACCAAAGATATACAGCAACGCGCTAGCTCCGTCGATCTTTCAACCCAATAGTGGCTATCGATATATTTTAGACCTAACCCCGTCCAGTTGAGAATTATATAGTTGCAAGTATTGGCTATAAATTCTCATTACACAAACCGAGCTGTTGAACCGATATAAATAAAACGTTTACAGTTTATAGGTCCTAGAAGCTTATGCGACCTGCGTTCAAATCAACACAACCGAACAACATATAGCAACGTAGACATATAATATATTAAATACCTAATATATTTATGTGGCAATACAGTACACTATATCTTGAGTTATCCTGTTATTTGAAGTGGTATTAAGGTCATAGTGGTGGTGGAATACGAGTTGAACAATTAAATGTACTATAATGATGATGAAATTTAATATACTACAATTTTTTTTTTATAAAGTCAGTTAATATGCCTGCTTACAGTGAATGTTTTTAAAATTAAATTTTAAAAATGTTTAGTCATTGTGGAGTTGACACTGTCGTTAAGGTATTTACTTAGATAACGTCCATAATATTCACACTAATTTTCACCTAATTTTCTGATACGAGAAGAAATTCTGAAAAGTCGACTTTTATACTTAGAGGTACCGTTGAAAATTTCACCAGCCTCCTTCATCAAAGTTTTCTTGAATGTACTCGTCAACGCTTACAAATTCAACACTTAGAAATTAATAACAAAAAAGTCTACGTTCAAACAAGTTAAAATCAACAAATCATTTGCTGGGTATATTCAAATAATATTATATACTCGACGTTCCTGTGTTCTGCTGTTAATCTGAGCTTAAAATTCACAGATATAATATTATAATGTGACACAAACGACGGCGACGACGATAAGTCATCAGTAATCGCTATAAACCGTTACAATAATATAGCTGTATAATATTATTTAGGTAGATAAATCGCGTATACTAAAAAACGTATTCCTACTAACCATTAAAAATTATAATATCGAAAGTGCGGTATATGGCATATACCGGACCATTAGCCGACATACCTGTAGGTTAGGTAACTATAACCACATAGTCTGCAAACCGGTGCCTTGCCCTGCTCGACTGGCAGCACCCAAACATTGTGGCTCGACCCGCGTGACGACGGCGCTTGTGTGAAAACACTGACCACCGGCCGACGAGCAATTAGCCACACGCGGAGGCGCCAAAAGTGATTCCGATAATAATAATAATTGTCCGCCGTCGATCTCGACCGAAAACACTGCAGTTCGATAGCAATAATAAAAATACAAGTTATAATATTACTCGTATATGTTTATATGGTATAACGGTGTACCATCCATAATAATAGGCATTGTTCAATGAATAATATGTATTAGTTTTATTAAAAAAAACTGTAAAATACATGTTGTATATCATAAAGCATTAGAATAACAGACACTTTTCTTTTTTTTTTTATCAAGTACCTATACCAATTCGAATTCAATATTCATAATTAACGAGGAGGACAACGTCTGTCGTGTCAGCTTGCTGTAATATATATCATACGACTTTTAAAGCACAACAAACAAAAAAGATTATATTTTTCAACACTTTGGTGCGATAAGTATTTAATTTTTATGTTGGATATTTTCGTTTGATATGATAATAATATCCATAACGTCTATGCATCTGTTGTCTCCGTGTTCGAAGTCGGTCAATTTTCAATATTTTACATTTTAAATGGGATTTTTAATTCGTGATATTTCAGCGTGGCTACATATCTTGCTTAAAGATTAAAATATGGAAAAAAATAAAAATCCAACGCTCAAGCACAGATAACGTTTCTACTTTTAGGTTTTACTATAAGTCAATTCACTCGAATATTCACATCACAAAATTTACTAAACTCGTATTTGATATGATTTACATTAATATTATAAACCGAAGACAATACACACAGATGTGGATAGCGTCCTCTAAATGTGAGAAAAAAAAACATAATATCTTCAGGCAACAAGAAAAATGAAGATAAATGTCAGCAAGAGCTCAGTCAAAACCATAAATCGTTTATAAACGCTAAAATTATTACGTTTTTGATGCCTTTGTATAGGCTATAGTTTATAAATCGTGGCTTGGTGAGACGTGGTCGTACGCTCAATCTGCGGAAACGCACTGAGCGTACGTACCGGGCGCAGTTGTTAACTCCCGGATGGGTGACCACCCGGGATTTTTAGCAACATAATATCCTTGCCACATATACACATAGACGTGTTACAACTTAAAAACTTACAAACAAATACACAAAAATAACCCCTAATGTACCCGCCCACACCTAATGGTCTATGTTGCCGCGGGTTCTCTGCCCTACATAAAAAATTATAAAATATTATAATATAATATTTTACTTCTCATTTCTCACCACATTAATATTTGACTGCTTTTAACAGAATATAATACTTTTTGCAATAATAAGGTATCATACCAACCAGTGGCGTGGTGAACTTCATTAAGTTATGAGGCACAGTTATATTGTCAGACCAACCACCCACTCCACCCATCACAAAAAACATTAAAAATGTTTTTTAAGATAAAATATAKTTATTCATTTAAATAATAATGCTTTTTTAACACATCAGAGGACACCCACCACCCCTCAAACTGAGGCACGTGCCTCAAATATAGCCCTTCGTCACGCCACTGATACCAACAAAAATTGGTAAAATTGAGCTTCTTTGTAGTGTTCCTATATATTAATATTTTAGTGCATTTACACCACCTGCACCGTTGTTGTAGTTTGTTAGGTACCTATTATACCACTTACTGAATTATATGCACTTCAATAGCTTAATGACATAAACTATGACACTGAAATAAGCGATAATAATGATATCACTCGCACACTGTTGTTAGTGTTGCCGCAAAATAATATAGCGTGCTGTGGACACGACAAAGCGGCAATAAACGGATAGGAAACGGAATAAGTATAATGTACGTGCATCATGAATATTGATTGACTTTCGATTGAAACAAAAACCCAACGAATAACGTTTTAGTTTATCGTTTATTTTTGACACAAATATTATTTTGTACACGAGTAGGTAAATAATAATAATAATAATAATAATCTAATGTAATATATAATAATATATTACAGTTTGTATAATATAAATCGTCGACGACGACGACGATAAATCACACAAGCCGTTGGTATTAAATTAAAATAACAACGAGGTCGTAATAAAATGAAAAAAAAAATAAAAACGAGAGAGTACTACTAATAAATAACTCGTAAATCAATAGAGAAGTATTACAGTGTTTGTGTGGTGGCATTGCATGCGACGCGTCTACAATAATTAACGAAAAAAAAAATTTTGAAAAAAAAACACAATAATAATAATAAAAAAATCATCATAATATCGTATCCTGCAAGACCGAGAAGGGTCACATATTATATGATAATAATTACACGAAATAATAAATTAAATTAAATACATCACATTTATAATATACACATACACGCACACACATACGCAAACCGTGTATCGGTCGAAAGACCTCCCCGCGGGTGGGCAAAAAAAAACAGATTTTAAGTATAGTATGGTATACTACGCGTACCCGTCACACGAGGCTGATGATAATTGATAATGATAATAATAATAAAAATAATATAACAAAACGAATATTAATGGGTCGTCGGGAGATTGAGAGGGAGTGAGAAAGATTTGTTGTCGCGCATTTATCGACGTTTGCCGATCGGTATGCCGGGCGATTAATAATAATAATATACAATATATAAGCGGCTATCACAGTGTCACTATACATCGATGTAATGATAAAAATAAATTGTTGTGCAGATGGCGCTGACGTTAACGGCTCACGGTGGCGGCGGACGTGTCACCGCGGGGTGAGTACAACTGCTGCTGCTGCTGTTGGTGATGGTGGTGATGGTATGCGGCTGCGGCTGCGGCGGCCGCGGACGGCGGCGGGTAGCAGTACGCGGCCGTCGGGTTGAACGCGCTGTACGGCGACGGCGGCATCATGGACGGTGGTTTGCCGTAAGCTGCGGCCGCGGACGGGTGATGGAACAAGTGCCGAGACAGGTGGCTGTTGTAGGCGGAGAACGCGGCCGCCGTGGTGGGCGACATCGGACCCGCGGCCATGCAAGCGGCCGCGGAGACGGCACTACCGCCGGCTGATGTGTGCGTGCGGATGTGCTGCAACAGTTCTTCGGACGTGCTGAAGCTCTTGCCGCACAGCGAGGCGGCCGTGGCCGCTTCGGTGCCGGCGGCGGCGGGCGACGACGACTGCATGTGGCCGCCGGGAATCACCCAGCTGCACGTGTACGGGCGGGCCACGGGAGCGTAGAAAGCGGGCACGGAAGCGGCGGCCATAAGCGACGACAGGTACCGCTGGTGGTCGCACTGTACGCAACCGGCCGGGCAAGCGCCGGCCGCGGCCATCATCGGATGGTATTGTGTGGCGAACGCCAGTGCGGCCGCAGCTGCCGCGTGCTGCTGCTGCTGGCCGCACCCGGAAGCCGGGCCGCCGCACATTGGGTCCTTGCAGTCGGACGACGGAGACGCTTTGCCCGCAGCGGCCGCGGCCAGAGACACGGCGGCCGGCATCCACGGTGCACCGGGTAGGTACGTGTGTCGGAAGGCGGCAAGTGGGTCGTGCGGTTTGTACGGCGAGTGAGCGGGCATCGGCGGCGGCGGGCAGAACGCCTTGGCCGTGGCGCCGTGCATTACTTCTAGACCGGACCGTATGATCGGATTGATGGACGGGTCGGCGGCGGAGGAGGCGGTGGACGCGGCCACTGCGGTTTCAGACGAAGAAGCCGACGACGATGACCGGCGACTGCTCTTGTGGTGCGCGCCGCCATATTCGTCTCGTGGCGAAGTGGACTTGCGCTTCTTGCCGTGGCCTGCATTGTTGCCGTTGTCTTCCGAGCTGCTGCTTTTTGGCCGACTGTCGTCGTCGTTGTTGTTGTTATTGTTGTTGCTTGGATGGTTGGAATGCAGCTGATGCACACCGTAAGGCGAAGAGTGGTGATGGTGGTGCTGTACGGCGTGCTGTAGATGGTGATGCGGCGACGGTGTCGACACGGTATTTTCGTATGGTTTAAAGTTTAACTTTGCCGGTTTGGGCGTGTCTTCCATGTAATTGTTGTTGATGTTAGTCCGGTGGTGCTTGGCAGCCCCGTGGCCCAAATAAGCCACTGACGCTGAGGCCGGTGATGCGCTATGTGGCCGGTCCGCGGCGGCGGCTGTGGCCGAAACGGGGGTGGCAGCTGCTGGTTTTTTCGACTTAGCGGCCGCCGCCATCGGCGGGTCAGCGCCGATCTGGCTGCAGGTCCGCACTAACATGGCAAGTGGGCTCGTCTTGGAGTCCAACTGTAACACACAAATGGAAGAAATCGGTTAGTCGTAGAACGAGCAACAGGTCCTGTGTTAATTATTAAATAATATGCGAGTGTTAAAGTTTTTAAGAGGAGGGTGGCGTTTATACCTAACCGTTGGTACCGTGGTCAACGGTTAAGGTGAGGTTGATCGCGGTAATCAACATTAAAATTTAACGACCGCCGAGTGAGAAACCGATGATCACTATAATATGGTAATTAGGTATACAACAAATGTTCGCAACCCGTGAAATAATAATAGATAATTAGAATATCGTTGAATATTTTATGACATTATATTTCTATATACAATTAGATGCATCAAACAGTATTCGAACTCAATAGATCATGGCAATATAATATTAATACCAGTGTAGATGAATTTGGCACTTTTCCGATCGTAATAAATTTACTGAGGAGGCTAATGAATGTATTATGATGTTCGGTGATGAGTAAACAAATGCGGTGTGTTATTTAACAATACTTGTGGCTGTCGACGCCGTTGATGCCGTTAGTAAACATGCTTGAAAAGCAAACAATTCTAATAATAGTACACGTTTGTTAGACATTATTATGTGATTTTTTATCGATCATAGGAGTTGGGTTGAATTCTAAAAAAAATTGGAAGGCAACGTTGTCGATGGCTAATTGCACTTCTCTGAATTGATTGACAAGGCTACGTCTCCGGCGAAAAAAAAATAAATCTCATCACATCACGTGAAATCGATGAGTTTAATTAGTATTAATATAGCTTATCTTTGTTAAAGCTGTGTTACCTATTCATTTATAGACATGAACCTATTGTATTACGTGCCCGTGCAAACCGTTAGTGTGATTTACGTGTATTACGTGATTATACGAGAGGTCTAATTAGTAATTCATTAATCTGTAGAATATACAATGTATAGGACGTCGAAATAAAATAAAAACAGATTTTTCTTTCACTTGTTAACTGCTTTAAAGTCTAAAATAATGTATTTTATTTAACAAGCAAATAAAAACCTAAAATATAGTTATCATATAAATGCAATTATTATGATTTTCATTTTTGTAGTCGTGTTTTTTTATATTTTATTTGAAAACTTAAAATTGAATTATTGATGTTATGAATACGAATAAAGACGACGCATATACGTATATAATAAATTGCAAAATCGTATAAAGTAATATGTATGATTTACTTTGCAATTTATTAATATTGGGTTGTGTTTATATCAAAAAATTAACAATCGAATAATACTCTTATTATAAATTGTATACAGTTAAGTACCTATTATTATGATTATATTGTGGATGTAATATAATTGTATTGCTTATACCAAATTCAGTAAATTTAATCGTGAATAATAATGCATTAATTGGTAGTTGTACGCAAATATTAAAGCATTGTGACGATGGGTCGTCGAGTATCAAGCAAAAATGTTTTTCATTAGCCTGACGCTAAAGACAACTCATTTGAATTTTTTTTTAAAGATTCCCGTGTGCATAAACAAATAATAAATTGTTATTTACCGAAGCTAAAGAAGTGTCTTGAATGTATTGGTACTGATTATTCTCCGGATTCGAGTCCATGATTGCCATAGTAAATGGTCAAATGGTTGGAACACACTTCGAATCGATAAGTCGTACTCAGATAATAAAAATAAAAACTAATTAACGTTTTCTTCTTTTAAATAATAATAATAATTAAAAAAATACGATTTTATAGTTAATAGGCGTGACTGAGACTAATAAGTATTCAAAACACTTCGAGCGATCACAAAAATAATTAATAATAATAATAATAATAATAATAATCGCACAGCACAAACACAACGAACAAAATGCGAACGGTAAGAACGTCAGACGAAAACTGCTGAGCGGTCCTACGGACGGGAGCGCCGCCGGTACACGGACGAGAGGACAAAACGTATTTTCGAACACTCGACCGACGCGCGCTCTTGCCCGTGGTACAATATTTTTGGCTGCCCGATAACTATTGTACTTACCGTACCGTTGAGTAATACATTTTTTTTTTCATTTCCGACTAAATGTTCGACTACCGACCATGATTTTTATTCACTTGTATAATAATAGTCAATGACACATACGCGGTGAAAGCACGAATTACATAATTTATTATAGCGGCGTTAAAAGGTTAATAACGATATTAATCATAAATCCATAACAGTTGTAGGTACCTATATATCATAGGTAATCAAATAACTTTATAATTTTTATGGTAATCACTAATTAGTAATTAGTATAATATTATCTTATGAACTATAGCCAATAGCCATTATAAATAAAGAACAATATCAGTAGCTTATTGCGTATACACAATAATTTTTAGTGCAGATAACTTACGTGTGATGTATTACTCGTATTATTATATTTTATATTTTATAAATATATTCAAACATAGCGCAACATAGATAATTGGTGAACTATGAAAAATGTGATAAAATTCTAGCTTTTTCTATAAACAAAACTTAACTATTATAGTATAATAGTATAATAAGTTATAAAAATATATCGTCGTTTCGACTAGATACGTGCTGAACACGTTGTAATTTATTCCTATGATACGCACGACGCACTTATAGGTATACATACCTGTCCAAATAGTAATTTCTAAAACGCTGTCCACATCTGCAGTTGTACCATATAAATGATAGTTGTTATAGTGTATTATAATACTATAGCCAAAGATTATCGAATAAATAATTATATTATATTATTCATAACGTAAAAAATTGCTGTTGCTTTGATTCATTCTGGTAATATTAATTAATAAATTACAGATAATATTCTAAGCATTCTTGACGTAGATAAATATAACATCGGTGGCTAGCGAAGCGAGGACACGAATGTTCATCAAATACTGTTTGAGCTACTCTCTCTCACACCCTGTCTTTTTTTCACTCTCTCTTTCCCTCTCACGATCTGATAGAGTCTGTCGGCACACGTCAAGTAGGCGGCGGTACCACCCAAGGCGCGCGTTGACAGCAGCAGATGCACTCCTCTTACCAGAACCGTCGGCGGTGGCAATCGTTGCTGACAGCAATAAGACGGCCGTCACGAAGTCGGTTCCCCCATACATGTGTCACTAAGCTCAATTTTATTATTATTATTATTTTTTTTTTTTTTGAGTGAGCAACACAAAATTATATTTTTATAATAATATAGTTACTAGGTATAGTGTAGGTAACTTACTATACTATATACTTATACTTCACATCTTATATTTTATAATAGGGATACAAATCAAACGATACAACGTAAAAAGATATAATTTCTTAGTTTTAATAAATTTATTAAGTTAATGTGAGAAAAAATTAGTAAAAAAAAATATATATATTCGTTAAGATTGTGTAGGTACTCATAATTTGAATTGGCTAAAACATCTATTTGTAAATTAACTTTGCAAGTAAGCAAGTAATTATAGCCCATTACATTTAATAGTTATACTTTAATAAAGTAACTTTACCTAGGTATTTATAAGTTTTATTGACTCGAGACAAATTTACTTTTCAATTATCAAGATATAATTATAATGCCTAATTTTAACATGGATATAACATTTTTATTATAAAGTTATTAATATGATTGCCTTAAATAGAACAATATTTGTATTGTACACTTTCAGCAGTTAATAATATTAGATCATTTGCCTAATAAATTGTTTTTCATCGAACAACTATTACTAAAACAGACATTTTTAAATTTTTGCTTTCTTTGAATATAAGTATATAGTTGTTATAACATAAATAGATAAGGAAATATATTATCTACTCTATTAAGTCTAACACTAATATAGTATATAACATGCTGGAGTATATTCGTATAATATCATAGTTTATAGATTTTGCTATCAGGTAATTAATTTATAGGCTGTTGAGTAGAACGATAGAGGAAATTTTTAATTTTCCAGATTTGTGATGTTTAATATATTATGCAATAATTGTACACTGGTTTTTTCGCAAGTTTTGGATATAAAAATTTCAAATTATAGCCCTTAAGAACAGAAATCATACTCTATAACATGAGTTAAATGAAATTTCAAAATTTGACCTCCACAATGCACCAACTAGGTTCATTTTCCAATCGAATAAGCTACTAAAGTTGAAAATCGAAGCACTATTTTGACAACTTGTCGTGTGCACAGACACAAAAAAACACACATCATTCAATCATTGTAAAACCTAAAATCAGAAGATGACTAACTTAACACATATGTAATAAAAAAAAACAGGAGGTACATCATCCTCATCCTGCTACCCTTTGAAAGCTGCAAATTTTAAATTTTAAAAAATAGGTATAATATATATGTTATATATAAAACCACGATAAGTGACCATAAAAGAGTATATATATATATATATATACAAGTAAGTGCCACGAGAATGTGTGTATAAAGGAAGGGTAAATTATTTTTAGGAAATCTTCGAGCATATTTCACAACCTTTACAGAAAAAAAATCATTACTGACAGACAAGTCTAGATCTGAAATGCACTACGGGGTACCCATGTCAACAGTAATTGACGTATGACCGCGGGTAAGCATTGGAAAACAAGTCAATGTTCAAAACTCTGCCATCAATAAATGTCAATTTTATAGCACTTTGATAATTTAATCAAATGCTTGGAGAAAGTAATGTTTTTATTTCTTGGACTTTTAAATGCATAATGAATTTTAAAAACGTTTTCCCGTTTGATTTACAAGTATAAATTATGCTACAGGTAGCTCGAGACGTAATGCAACTGTTCCGCGATAAGCAAATGTATTTTTTTTTTGTGTGGGAGAGGGGGATTTAAAAACATTTAATATTCAATACATTAATTTGGTACCTACGTCAATATCCTGAATATCCAGCAGAGTACAGGTAAATCTACAGTGCCTACTTGTTAACTTAAAAGAATATTATGACTTTTATAATATATATAGATTTAACAAAACCGAAAAAAAATTCTATTGTTATAATAAAAATAATAAGACCTTACCCCCAATATTTTGTATTTTATCTTTTCCTAAACATGTATATTTTGCAGACAATTCACGCCTTCTCTCCTCCTGCCCATCAAATACCATTATTTTTTATTATATACCTCATGTTGACAGGTGACAATGTGGATACCTTATTGATACATTATTATTTTCCTTCCAAAGATTAACGGCACAGATCATGTGTGAAATRTAGGTACCTGCAATAGTAAAATGTATGTTAAAACCGTTTGTCGAAAGTAAATAGTAATATTATCTGAACATTTGTAATTTTGTATGTGTCATGTTTGTATACATATATGTATATATGTACATAGTTTATGTGTGTGAGAATCTGTTTAAGTTAATACTCTGTTAACGGCGGTCGATGAAATTACGCAATAGCCACTGCAGTGGAATTGACATATTAATATATTATCATCATCTGAACGCGGATAACATTAATTCTTCATGGTAATGTATGTAACAAAAAAAAAAAAAAACGGACTGGATGTTGGAAACATCGCTTTGCTTAATTTAGAATGTTGCGTTAGCGCGTTTCTATATCAAGTTAAAAATCCACGATCAATAGGTTGAAAAATACTTTTCTAAGTGGTACTCATTTAACCGTAATTTGTAATAATTCGTTCACAGCTCTTAAAAATTACTTTTTCTTACGTTTTTTCAAACGTTGTCAACTGAAATTATATTTTTCTTTTGGCTCAAGGAAACTATTATTGAGAAAGTCGAAAAATAATATCATCAAAATAATATTTTAAATGGAATTCCGAAATTAAGACATTGTACTATACGTGAAATTTTATGAATAGGTCCATAACTGCTGTCCATAAATGTTACTCTAAGATAAATTCACTCAGAAGTCAAAATGAGTGTATCGTATAATATTATAAAGACGTGATTATTAGCTCGGTCAACCTATGGTTTTACATGAGGAAGCTGGATTTTTGAATATATACCTTTATCACGACATCATAATATATGAACAATAATAGGTGAAAAGTTTCAGTCAGTATTATGTGAGCATAAAATTTTGTTCGAGAATCTCAACTTCAAAGATCACGAGATACAAATACCACATTTTCTTAAATATCTCGCTTTTTACGTTGATTTTGCGATAAAAAGTTTTAGACTAAAATTTACTGTTAAGAGAAAATTGTCCACAAAGTGAGTGTATTTATATATACCGTCCTTGCGGGATATTGGTGTTAAAAATCAAAAATTCGATAATATAATAATAATATGAATGCATTTTCTGCGAGATATGTATTATTTGTCATTGCCTATAATAACGTAATTAATAATCACATGTAGTATCATTCTTCGTCAGTAAACTTAATATATACGTACTTATATGATTGGTACACTTATGATGATATTGGCAGATGCCAATAATAAATAAGTAGAATTCAGTGTCACCAGCCGGGTTGGGCACGATGAGCGTGCGTGTGCAGAAATGTGAACACCGAATGTAGGTAGGTATATGGTCATAATGGATTTTCTAAAGTTAATAATTGCAACGAAACAAATGAAAGTACGTCTTTATAAGATAGGCCTAAATATATGTACATATTAGGTTTATTAAACATTTCTTTGGAATCGTTTCAATAAAAACAGGCTTGTTTCTACACCGAACCAAAGATTAGAAATCGTCGACATCATAATATATTTTTAAGAGCTAGTTCAGGAAAGGCTGTTGTTGACAGGATTATAATCGATTAGACGTTGAACGCGCGTCGCTGCAGAAAAGGTGTAATATTTTTAACTCCAACAACCAAAATGCAAAATGCTGCCGCACCGTTTGCTGGACCATTGAAAACGTTATAGGTACCTAGTTATTTCTAATAATAAATTATGGCCGCCACCTGAATAAT